CACAACGCACCTCCTCCCTCCTGCCTCCCCACCCGATTTCACCTGCAAACTCTACCTGTGGAAAATTAGCCATCTGTGCATTTTGGCACTGTAGTATTCTGGCACACGTGGTTTTGCTAATCCTGTGCCACTCAGCCTGCCAGCAAGTGCCCATTCCAGCCACCTTCGGCTTCCAGTAGAAGACAGGATTCAGGGAGGCGGACAGGGAGAAGAGCGAGGAGAGGGATGTCCAAAACAACACAATAGACAGAGAGCTGTCCTGCTGGTCAGTCAGGAAAAATCCCTGGACCCTATTCTGTTTACCAAGGCAAAACCCACAGGTGTGGGTTCCAATCTCCCTGATTAAAATACCACTAAAGACAAAAGCAAAAAAGCAAAACAAGAAACAAACAAAAATCAGTAATTGCAGTTTGAGTCTTCTGCATCAACAATGAAGCATCATGCATGGAAAACTGAGATCTTTTCCTTATGTTCTGTTCAAATATTCTGGATTTTGTCCATTCAACGGGGCGGGGGGGAGGGGGTATTGCTATCACTTTAAATAAAGATACAATGTAAAAATTTCAAGAAAAGCAATTAAATCAAGCATCTCAAATAAAATGCAATGGAAATTTAAGAAATAGCACAAGGGTTAAGACACTTGTCTTATTTGAGGCAACCCCAGCAGAATCCCTAAGCCCCCTTAGGAATGACCCCGTGGTTCCGTGAGCTGGGTGGAGCCGCTGAGCACCTCTGGGTATGGCCCCCAAACAACAAAAAAACAAAATTTAAATAATAAAATAACCCCTTTAACTCTCCATCATCAACAGCAAAGTTCTAAATGCAGGACGATGACCAGAACAAAAACTGATTTGGGGCAGTCAGCCTTTCTTACAAATTTCGAGCCACGCAAAGACTGCTCATTTCTGAGCCACACTGAAGGGATCAAGAATTTAAGGTGTCCCATTCGAGCCACCAGGCCCAGACCCACTTTCCTAGCTTATGCATAGAAGTCTCCGAGTGGTAGTAGAAGTAGGAGCGGATTCTAACAGCTAACACGCAGGGCCTGTATTTGAGCTGGGAACCGGGCTTTGTCTGTACTGGCACCTGGAAAACCCAGAATATGATTCCATCTGTATTTGCACAGTCTAGCTTCTTTTGTGTAGGTTTGTAGATCTCTGCAGCCAGTTGGATCCAGATAGATGGGGAACAGGTCCCAAAGACTGCTCCCGTCACTCAACATACACTCCTCCAGTGTTTCCCCCATTTCTCAGTGCCCCTAATCATTCATCTCTCCTCACACAGGGCAGATACAGGCAGAGTCAGGGTTCTGTTTCTCCCTGAAGCAAATATAGGCAGAACCTGGATCCAGTCTCTCTGGAGCAATACAGAAGAGCCTGGATCCCAGATCCCCTGGCGCAAATACAGACAGAGCCTGGATTCCAGATCTCCCTGGCGCAAATACAGACAGAGCCTGGATCCTAAGTCCCCCTGCTGCAAATACAGAAAGAGCCTGGAACCCGGGTACCCCTGGGGCAAATAGACAGAGCTGGGATCTGGGTCCCCCAGTACACAGACAGAGCCTCAAATAGACAGAGCTGGGATCTGGGTCCCCCGGTACACAGACAGAGCCTGGATCCTGGGTCCCCCTGGTGCAAATACAGACAGAGCCTGGATCCCAGGTCCCTCTGGCGCAAATACAGACACAGCCTGGATCCTAAGTCCCCCTGGTGCAAATACAGAAAGAGCCTGGAACCCGGGTACCCCTGGGGCAAATAGACAGAGCTGGGATCTGGGTCCCCCGGTACACAGACAGAGCCTGGATCCCGGGTCCCCCTGGTACAAATAGAGACAGAGCCTGGATCCTGGGTTCCCCTGGCTCCCAAGGCTCCTTCCCAGTTCCCCATTCTGTTGCGGGAGGTTTTGCTGTCAGTAGATTTTCAGGAAAATCAAGCCTTGGATCAAGGAACATGTCACTTGCATGAAACCTTAACACCCAGTTTGGTGCCCCTGACTTCACCACCAGCACTTCATCCCTGAGTTTTAACACTGATAAAACTATCTGAAATGCCTCAGACATCTAAATAAAAAGAAGAAAGAAACAAGGTTCTTTCTTCCTAATGGTACTTTGGGAATGAACAGTATTGCAACCTGTAACAAACTTCACCCCTCTTAACTGAATTCAAGAATATATTCATCACTAAGATTTCCTTAATTAATATGGAAAAGTATTACTGCTGAAGGGTGTGGTGTTGGGATTATGTGCACAGAAAACCATCATTAACAGCCTAACAGTAAAATAACAGAACCTCAATTTTAAAAAGGGTTTTAAAAATCAGGCTGAAACAACAGTACAACAGGAAGGGCACTTGCCTTGCATGTAGTGGATGTGGATTCGAGACCCGCACCATGATGGTCCCCTGAGTCCTGCTGGGAATGACCCCTGATAGGAGAGTCATGAGTGAGCCCTGAGTACCACTATAGTGTGGCTCCTAAACCAAAAAACACAATCCAGTTTTCAAAAATAAAGAAATGTGTTTTGGGGCTGGAGCAATAGTACAGCGGATAGGGCATTTGCCTTGCACGCGGCCAACGGGGTTCAATCCCTGACATCCCATACGGTTCCCCCAAGCACTGCCAGGAGTAATTCCTGAGTGCAGAGCCAGAGATAACCCCTGTGCATCGCCAGGTGTGACCCAAAGAGAGAGAAAAAAAAATGTTTTGTAAAGTCCCTGCTTTAAAGATAGTACCACTCTCTCACCTGAGATTCTATCCTATCAGAGCCAGACCTGCTCTCACTCTCTATCACACACCCTTCTTTCCATCGGTCCCCTTCCGTCCAGTGCCCTCGGTCCCCATGCTGCCCATGCATTTACTCCTTCATTTCTATCCCCTCCTATACCATCAGCTCCTCAAGTGCACCCAGTAGCACACAGGGCACCGCTTAGTGAATAAAACCACCCAAACTGAAGCTGCCCCAAATCTTCCTATACCATAGCAGTTACATACCAAAAGCCCTAAGACACATGTGGCCACAGAGGTGCTTGGTTTAGGTAGCCATGTTTTGAAAATACTAGAATCAGTCACGAACACTTTAAGAACTAGGCTAAATTCACACACAAATGCAAAATCTTAGCTCCTTTACAAAATAAAATGACTTGCCAGCAGTAGGTCCAGCATGTTGTCATTCTCCTGTCTGTCTGTCTCCACCCATTCCCCACGGCCTACACCTTTCTTCAGCTCTCTAAATTATTTTCTAGAATCCACCTAGATCCCAGAGCACAATGTCCCTCAATCTCCACCAAATATTTCAAAGGACAGCATGGAAGTCAGAGGAGATGTCATCATTTACCATTATTGCTTTATGCTAGAACCTGCCAACTTGGTGAGCAAACCCCAGGGTCTACTGTCAGATTTAATCTGGAAGAAAGAAGCCCTAGCTGCCCTGCAAAGCCCCTAGCCCAGGCCTGTCCTAAAGCACTTTCTGTTGCAGGCTCACTGGATCAACTGATTCCTAGATCATGGCGCAATGCAAATGTCCCCTTGGGATTGGCCAGGATGAAAAAGAATTGATAAAGTACTGGATCATAAATAAGAGAGTTCCTGATGAGGAGATCAATTCCGTAATGACTACAAATGAATTACTCAACACCAACACATTTTTCTGTTAGAAGTTTCAACCGTGGTGGGCTCCTGATATGAATTTTACATGCGATTTACCGCATCTGTCTTCTTTTATTCTCTAAATAGCCATTCAAAATCCATATTTTTTTATGGTAATGTAATTCCATTAGGGAGAGAACTAGAAAGTGCATGGAGGGATCAATCTTACGCTGAAATAAAGAGACTAAATGACCTTCTCCTTCTCTAGTTTCTCCCACAGATTGGTCTGTTGTGCTCAAATTAAACTATGAAAAAGTCTTCTCCCCACTGCAGCTGAGAGAGGACAGGACATAAAGAACCCCAAATGCCATCTGAAACTAATTTCATGTCTCAAACTTCTGTTCAGACCTGGGTTTATGAATACAAAAAATGATGGGGCCATGGGGATTGCCTTTGAATTCACTGCTTTTGAGCTCTTCACTTTATCTTCCACATTTCAAACAATAAATTTTTTTAATACGGAAGATGAGTACTCACAAAGAAATTAATAACCATTCCGCATAGTAAATAATTAATAGTTCTGAAAGATTCAGTGATAACTGAAACAAAAGCTATCAGTTTCCTTTCTGTTTTGTAAGAGAAATCATTACACTGAATATAAACAGCATTATTCAGGAATTACAAAAACAGTCTGTGCCTGATAATAAAAATGGTGATTACAGGCTAAAGGGGGAAAAAGTTTTTGCTTCTTAAAAAAAAAACACCCTCAAAAATATATAACCATTGTTAAGAAACATGCCCAGCAGTTTCTCTCTACTGCAAAACAACTATTTTCTCAAAACCTTGGCTTATTACAAGAATAGGTTCAAAATAGAATGTCCATTTATCTCGAGAATGAAGGCACCATGAACCATATTTCCTTGAAAATAAAATAAGCAAAAAGAGACACTCCTTCCAAACCTTGCCAATCTTCCTATGAACATAATATTAAATGTCTCAAAAATAGGTAACACTTAAAAAATTTAGTCAGTTTTAATTTTTGCTAGTTTAAAGTCATTCGTGCCCCCTCCCCCATCACAAAATCTCCCAAAGTCCTTAGTCAGTGCAACTTAAGAGCTCACTTAATTCTTTCATAGAAAGTCAGATGATTAGAGTTGAGATACGTAACCCTTAAACAAGTATTCCTGCCCCAGCCCTCCCCCCAGTCAAAAAAAATAATAATAAAAATAAGTCTAAAAGATTACTTTCTCCTGTCACTGGAAGAGAGTGACTACAAAGCTGGCAATGGAGCTGATATCTATTACATATATGTATACACAGGCACTAACCATATAGGGAGTTACATACATCTCTAGACTCTTTTGCTTGTAACTTATAGGAAGCTTGAGTTAAAAAGCAGAAGGATACGTGGCACAAACCTGACCATTCCACGCACAGTACAGATTGCATAGTAAACTCCAATTGTGGTTGATCATGCAGTCGAAAAGCCTGAAGTGGGCCATGCCGGCCTCTAGCGCAGTCGCCACAGCTTCTCTGACTCAGCTTTTGTCAGCCGGGAGCTGCTCCGGGGCGCTGCAGTGATGTGGCTGGCAAATCGCATCGTCTCCTCCCTTCCTGTCTCAGCGGCCACAGCGGGCTCACTGCACTGCACCATCTCCCAAGGCCCTGGGGTGTCCAGAAGACTCGATGGCGAAGGTAAGACCTCCTCATAAGGCTTTTCTGTATTTATTATTATGTGGTTTTGGCTGGAGTGGTGGTGGGGAGGGGGCTGGGGAAGTGTGGGGAGGGCTGGCCACACCCAGTGGTGCTCAGGGGCTACTCCTGGCAATGCTCAGGGCACCATGCTGTGCTAGGGAAATCAAACCGTATGATCAAAAAAATTTTTGTTTTATTTTTTTTTGAAGCAAAATAGTTTTTGCTGAAAGAAACTTTCTTATAGAAATGTGCGGAGAGAGAAAGAGAGATACATGTTCAAGAGAGAACACGGGCTTCTCCAGAGTGGGAGGCAAAAGCCCCAAGCTTGATTAAGAATACTGTCTTGGGGAGACAGAACAGCAGGAAGGACCATGCAGCCTGGATCCAATCTCTGGCGCCCCGTATAGTTTTCCCAAGCCCACCCGGAGTAGTCCCTGAGGACAGAGCCAGGAGTAAGTAAGCCCCAAGCATCACTGGTGTGACCCAAAACAAAAATGAAACCCAAAGACAGAACACTGTCTTGCTCTTCTTTTGGAGTTTCAAAGACTAGCACTGACCCACTCGACTGAATGAGAGGAAGCCTAGGTCTCAGCAAAAGAGACCACTTTCTCACGGCCCAACGGCCAGATGGAGAACAGGGAGCCTCAAGGCCAGGGAGCTTCCCCAGGTTCGTTTATATAATGGAGATAAGAAGACTTGCCCTTGTGTGGTTTTGCATGTGGAAAAAACAAAACAAAACAAAACACCTGCAACCTGATGAAAACAGTGGTGAGGCCTGAAGAGATGGTAAGGGGTAAGGCAAGCCGTGCACAGGGCCCACCCTGGTTCGAGCCTGGCATCAGTTCCCCAGATCCAGTCAGGAGTGATCTGAGCAGAGTCAGGATTGAGACCCCAGTACAGCTGGGTGTTGCCCTCAACAAAATCAAAACAACAACACAAAGTGTCTAAGAGCTAATATGGCATCGATGCGGCAGCCGATTAATAATTATTAATATCCTTAGAATGGGCTTCCTTCCCGTCTACTTCACTCCTACTCCTTATGCTCTCCTTCCATGATGTCATCCTCAAGGCCAGGGATTTAAAGTCTGAATGATTTCCAAGCCTCTCTCCAGCCCCACCCTTGTCCTGGCTGCAGGCTGCCTGCCTACACTCAGCACCTCAGCTGCACTCCCTGACCCGCCAAACTGGCCGCTCGCTGCAAGGCACTCTTTAGTTCTCAGTCCCCAGGAGTCCCCCAAACAGAAACCCCAGTCATCCTGGCTCCCTGTTCCTGATGCCTCCCACCCCTTTACCACGGAGCCAGGCCTTTCCTACTCCCCATCCATCCTGCCTGTGTCCTGCAACTCCCACAAGCCGCCCCCAAGCCTCGAGCCTAGTACCTCTACCCCTCTCACTCCTCTGTGGGATCCCCACTCCTCCGCCAGCTACTCACACCAGAGAGGCACAGAGTCATCTTGGTGCCCTGCTGCCCCCTCTCCCAGCAGCTCCTCTTCGCCTACAGCAAAGTTCCTCAAAGGGTGTTTCTACTTGTTCTACGAGATATAGAACATGACTGAGTTGGGTGAAAGGTATTCTATGGCAAAATAGTTTGCAAAGGGCCAGGTTAAAGAAAGATAAAGACAGGCGAGATGGCTCAGAGTCTAAACATGATGGTCAGGTTTGAGCATCTTGACATCAAACAACGAAGGGTCCTGTCCTGGAATATTGGTCTCCAACTAGTCCTTTCCTGACATCTTCGGCCGCTTTGCCTTCTTTCTGTCCCTTATTTGGTAACCGGGGTTCTCTTCTCTCTCCATCTCCTACTCCTCCAAACTATAATTACAGTCTGCAACCAATGAGAGAGACCCAACTGTTCAATCCCCACCTGAGTGTAGACTTACCCTATGGTTGGCTCAGCACTCGTGTTTGGGAAGAGTCTCTGCTCACTTCATCTGACTGAATCAAGGACACGAGGGGACTTTTTGTACCAACTGAGGTTCACAGTTAAGACAGCTTATCTCTGTACAAACTTCTGTGTCCTGTTTTATATGTTATTGTTATTACGGAGCTTAGGCAATACGGAAAGCGATGAACTACTGAGTAAAGAGAAGAGCTTCGTTTCTACTGAAGGTCGGGAAAGATGCACTCGAGGCAGCTGCTTGCCTGCAGGTTTTTCCCGTCTTTGGTCTTGTTTTTTTTCCTCCAGTGATATAAAAACCGTCTCTCTCCCTGTAGCCACTATGCATATGCAGCAACATATTTCTCTTCTTTTACTGAGCAAATCCTTACCTGACTTAGCTAACACAATCCTCCCAAGTTAATAAATGTGGAGGACAGTTCTATGCATAATAGGACTCTATACCATCAGACTTAAATCATTTTAAAATAGAATGTTTTTTACTAGGGAGATCAAGGGTCATTATCAGTTGTAAGCAAAACACAAATTGCTTCCTGAAATGATCCCAACTGAGCTGTTAGAATAGGTTCCATGCCAGCAAACTCACTCAACTCCAACTCTTCTGTCTCCACTTTAGGATTTGGGAAACTCTGGAGAGGAAGGAAATGAATGAGTATTTAAAGATTTCAGGTATTTAAAGATTTTCAAAGTTTCCAAGTAATTCCAGTAAAACTGAGTACTTAGAACCCTAAGCTAAATCATCTGTCCAACTCCCCACACCACCCCCCACCAAAAAAATACTCAGCTAAAGGACTAAGTACAATCCACTTTTTTAAAAACCATTTCTAAATAAAATGTGTAAATAAATAACAATGTAGCAATACTAATTTCCTGGTTTTGATTATTGTACACTGGTTATTTAAGATGTTTACATTAAGGAAACTGGGTAAAGAATATAAGGAAGTTCCATAGTTTTGCAATTTTTCTGTGTCTACAGTTATCCCAAATAAAAGGTTAGTATGAAAGAACCCTAATCAAGTGCAATCCAGTTGCAATGAACAACCAGATGTGACCTTTAAACACTGATCCCAGAGTAAGAAGCAAGATTGCTTGGAGAAATGGTTGACTCTAGGTCTGAACTGGATAGCATACGTAAAAGATACTAGACGGTAATAACCAAAGACAATTAGGTTCAACATTTCTAGAAAGAAGGATAGATAACTCAAGAAAACCTGACCAGGGACGAGTCCCAACAGGTGTTTTCCCTGAGCACAGAGCCAGGAATAAGCCCTGGATTTGACCCAAAAAAAAAGCAGAAAAAGAAAACTTGAAGTCACCACTTTTAAAATTGGCACAATTAGAGTTAAGAATGGGAATGTGTAATTATGTTATAATACTAGAGGTATGCTTACATATAAACATACATACATACATACATACATGCATACACATAGAGGAGATTCTGTCAAAGATGATCAGGGAACTCATTTATTTCTATACAAAAAAAAATTTAGGAAATAATAAAGTGCTATAGGACTACTAGATTTTTTACCCCTCAAGATCTAGTTTAAACTTCTGAAATGCTATTACCTATCTCTAACCCCTACTGACACTTCTGAAATTTCAAGAGATCTGAATCAAATTTTTTTGTTACCTCATTGACAAAATCTGAACCTTTTTAAATTCTCTAGAGTACATATGTGTACATTTTATAGTTCCAGACCCTGCACCACTATATATTTCTTGGGAAAAAAAAAACCTCCTGGACCATGAGAACTCCCAGGATCTTGATAAAGGAGGAAAAGTAGATCTTAGACAGTAGATTTCAGCAGGAAAGAAGAGCTTGGAGAGCAACACTATCTTTCCTGGAAGCATCTCTGTTCCCTGGATGCCTAAGTCAGTTTCTCGACTGACTACAGAGATACTTAGGGTACCAAAGACCAGCTGTATTGGCTTTGAGTCAGTTTCAGGTTGGCGCATAAGACAACATCAGAAAGTATATCCTGAGATGGTTTTCAATAAACCAGAGGTGTTCTTCAGGAAAACAACATGTATAGATGATCAATCTATTAGTCTGGGAAAGGAGGAAGCAGATAGTTTAGAGGCTTAGGGCAAGCTGTCTTCCAGTCTTCCTCATAGACCCCTCTGGCTGAATAAATTCAGCATGACTTTTACTCACTAATTCAACACAGTAAAGTAAAAGATTTCACAACCATTTGTGTAGCATATCCATAACTTAACATCTTGAAAACATCAAGACACCAAATTGCCTACTTTGCCAAAAGACATGGCTGATAAATTTTTCAAGCTGTCTATTAATTTGCTATTGAATTGCTCACCACTTAGATAATTGAACACAAAACCATTTCCATCTATATGAAGCCAGTAAATATGGGTCAAAGTGAAGGCTTTTTTCTCCCTGAGGCTTTTTTCCTTCTTTCTACCAAAGCTATTATGGTTCAATGAACACTTGCCATTAAATTACTCTTTCCTTTCTGGCTGAGAAAACCCTTGGACATCAGTTCCCACATCTTTAAAATGGGTATATGACTACTACATGTCTCGTGCAGTTGTTCTGAGTATGAAATGAAGTAAACAGTATGTGTTGAAGCAGTAAATAAGGGTTCAAAGGTCTTCCTTAAAACCCTAGAAAACATCTAAAATCTGGAGCAAGGGCAAGCTGGGGAAACAGCTCCACGGGCTGGTGTTCATGGCTAGCAGGCTGAAGCCCTGGTTCGATTCTGGATTTGGCGTGATTTTTCCAAACTACTGAGGTGGCCATTCCAGTGTTCATGCTTGACCACTGCTGGAAGTGACCCCTGGGCTCCAGAACACTGTTCTGCCTTGCCCCAATTACTATAATCT